ACATAGACTGCAGTAACCTATACTTAGAACAGGACACTTCTTGTGATCCAAAGACCTTTTCTTCTTTCCAAAAAAGAAAGAAATGACAGAAAGTAAATTAAAAAAAAACTCTTATCAACATATACCATAATACAATCATGTAAAGCAAGTCCACATTTCTCAATCACATAATTTATCGAAGGCAAAAAAACAAAAAACATATTCTAGTAACAATTTTTAAAAGAACAGAAAGGAAACCAGAATACAGAAAAAGGAATTACTCTACACTTAAAATGGCAAAGCCTTTTTTCAAAAACATATGACATGAAATCAATTACCCAATCACAAATAACTTAAACTCCAAACAAATAAGTCTAAAACACCACCCATCATATACATCCCCAATACAGATATTTTAATAATTCTTTTTACCTTTCTATAGCAACAAATCAACCTAGAACACTACCCAATATTCATATAAATAGTCCTACAGAAGCAGTTTAGAATAGCATCAACAAACATACAGCATAATAAGAGCCACCTGAAATGCTTTAAAGCAGTGACATAGCTGCAAACATAGACATCCATAACTTATACTCAGAACAGGACACTTCTTATGATCCAAAAACCTTTTCTTCTTTTCAAAAATAAAATAAATGACAGAAAGTAAAAAAAAAAAAAAAGACTTAAAATCTATACCATAATATAATTATGTAGTACAAGTCCACATTTCTTAGGCACATGATTATCAAAAAAAGAAAATAAGGAGCACATTCTATGAACAATTTTTAAAAGAACAAAAAGAAAACCAGAACACCTAAAAAAGAATTACCGTACACTTCAGGTGGCATAGGCTTCTCCCAACAACATATAATATGAAATCAATCAACTCATCACCAATAACTTTAATTCCAAACAACACACACACACACACACACACACACCCTAGCAACACATGACATGATTCACATAACAAGATCACACAAGACAAACACTCCTACTTACAACACATAACAAAGCCCGCAAAAACATCTAAACCAGCCACCACACCTCATCACAACTTAACAGCACATTTAATGACAAATTCACAAAAATAAAAAACTAATAGCCCTTTATTTCATACACCTAACAAAAATTGATCCATCAAACACCAACATAAAAAGCATATCCATCCATACTCAAATCATAATGAAATATCTGATACGTCCTTGTCACAGTCCTATAATGTATGGAATTGCCTTTTGTCATGGCTAATCAAGATCTTGGCTCATCAGATTATTGCCAATTGTTGAATATATGATAATAATGTAATAGTTAATAACAAACACATATATTCCCAGCAACTAATAAAATTTAAGTTACCTAATCTTTCTTTGTTTAGAATTAGTAATGACTTTGCTATAAGTTTCTAGCACCAAAACAAGAAGAAGTCAAATTCTAAGAAAGAGTGCAAGTGACAGACAGACCACAAACAAGAGGAATTCTCTTTATATATATCCAACTTATGAACACACACAATGAATTTTAAAAATAACTTTTCAGTCACCAAAAAATGTACAATTTCAAACAAAATGTCTAGACAATTTCAAAGACTATTGATAGTCAAAGAAACAAAGACAATGCTACACTCTAATAGCCCTTAAAATATGGAAGACCACATATTTGCAAGTAACCATTCTCATTGACCGTATTAGCTTCTTCCTCTTGTAATAATTAATCCTCCACACTAACCTACACAACAAAGTCCCTTAATATAATACTTTTCAAGATTAATGATCAGCACTAAATTAGTTACAAATTAGATAATGATTAACCCAAAACCACGTGCACTAAGCTAAAAAACAAGGTGCTTTAATATACTACTTTTGAAGACTAATGATCAATATTCAGTCAGCTACGAATTAGCTAATGACTAACCCAAAATCACGTGCATTAAGCTGCATAACAAAGTGCTCTAATATTAATTTTTCAGATTAGTGATCAATACTAAATTAGCTACGAAATAGCTAATGACTAACCCCCAAACCACATGTGATAAACTTGCTAAATGACTTATTAAATGAGTAAGTAAACCCCTTTTTAAATGACTTATTATCAATATGCTCTTTCAAAGCCATCTTGTAAAAAAATTGTTAATAAAAAGGAAAACCAAATGACTTATTATCAATATGCTCTTTCAAAGCCATCTTGTAAAAAAATTGTTAATAAAAAGGAAAACCAAAAAAAGGAAAAAAAAATAAAAATAAATAAAAAAAAAGGGAACAAAAAAATCAAAGGCTGAGCATTCCCCTTTTTTATTTTTTTTTTAATAGCTATTTTTTCGTTTTCTAAGAAAACAAAAATAGTACAGCGTGAGTATTTAAGCATACATATAATTACAACTCCAAAACAAATAATAAATGCATTGTGTAAATAAAATTAAGTAGTAAACCCCAAAACAATAATAAACAACTAAGAAAACCCAAAAAGAGAAAAAGAAGACCTTTGTTAGGAGGTGGGACCCACATTCCACATCAACTAAATACATGGCCATGAGAAATCAGTGAAGACCCAACAACAAGAAAGCGTTTTTTGTGGAAAAGCCAAAAAAAAAGAAAAAAAAAAAAGAGAGAAGGGTAAAAACGAAAATACACTGTAGATTTCAAATAGTGCCCACAACTTCTGGTTTTTATAAGGGTATATATATATATATATATATATATATATATATATATATATATATATATATATATATATATATATATATATATATATATATATATATATATATGTGGTACTAAAGATACACTTAAGGTGCATCAATGTGGCAATTGGGTGTAGAATTGAAAATAGGATAGTACATCCGGGTGCACCATGCGTTTATTGTCTACTATACTTAAGGTACATGACTGTCGTAATTGGATGTAGAATTTTAGGCTAGTACATCCGAGTGCAGCATGCGGTGTACCATGCGTTGTACCAAGCGCATGGTGCACCCAATTAAACAAAAAAAAAAGATAGAAAGAATATACTTGTATTTGATAAAGAACATACCTGTGTAGAATTATTGTGATGATCCTTTTCATATTTCGTTAGCAAATCCAGGATTTAATGGGCTGGACATTTGGGCTTAAGGCTACATTATTTTCGACACCAAATGATAAATCGATTGGGCTAAGGTTTAAAGATTATACCCTTTTTTTTGCCTCTAACTTTGGAAATTCTTTTATTTATCTATCACAGAGACTAGATCCACATCTAATATATAGTGAGCGGTAGGGGTGTCAATCGGGTTTTCGGTTTAGTTTTGGGTTCGATCTACCGGTTTTCGGTTTGTGATGGTTCGATTTTTAACGGATTGAAATTATTAACGGGTCAGTTCGGGTCGATTTTAAATAATTTTGGGTCGATTCGGTTTGGTTTCTTTTTATTACATTTTCTTTTCGGGTTGAATTCTAATCGGGGCGGGTTATAATTGGTTCGGGTCGTAATCGATTCGGGTTAAATTCGGTCGGTTTAAAGACGGGGTTTGTCAGTTTAAAGCGGGTTTTGGGTCATCACATATCGGGTCCTCATCATGTCGGGTTGTAATCGGTTCGAGTTGAATTCAGTTGGTTTGACATTTGGTTTTGCCAGTTAAATTATACGGGTTTCAGTAACATATATCTTCTATTATATCCTCAAAATTCTTTAATTACTTATTCCAGTAGATCATACAGAGTATTAATTACTACCTCCGTTTCTTTTTAGTTGACACGTATTCCTTTTTAGGAAGTTTTTTTTAGTTGACATGGTTCCTTTTAGGGTAACTTTTTTACCTTGTATTTACAAGCTACCTCACTTGCTTTTTTTATTCTCTCTCACTCTCACTCTCTATCCTCTCTTTAATACGTGTGTCTAAATCAAACGCGTCAACTAAATCGAAACGGAGGAAGTAGTTGTTTAACTTTATGCCCCTTTTTTGTATAATGATTTTAAGGATCAAGTAATAATAACAAATCTAGAGTTTGGTTTTGATTTAGATTTTTTGATTTTTTTTTAATACAATATAGTGTTCTATAAGCCATTACTCGTTAGAGAACAATAATATTTTAGCATAAGAGTTTCAATGACATAAAAATTCCAAACCTTTTCAATATAATTACTTTGTAATTCAAATTAAACCTTTTGTTTTACTATTGATAAAATATACCCAAAAAAAGAAAAAAAAGAAAAAAAAAATTGCGGTCATAACGGGTTATGGACTTACGGATTATAAACGGTTCGGTTACAACCGATTACGGGTTGTAAACGGTTCGGTCATAACTTATTACGGGTTATAAACGGTTTAATCCTAACCAGTTACAGGTTGTAAACGATTTGGGATTATCGGGTTTTTGTCGGGTTTAAACGGTTTCGGTTTACAATGGATCGGGTTGCTATCGAGTTCAGAAGTACTCGGTTCGGGTTGTATCAGTTCGGCTTAATAATGTGTAGGGCTCATTAACGGTTCTCAAATATTTGGATCGGTTCAGTTTCAGGTTTTAAAAAACCGGGTCGTGTTGTTTTACGATTTTAAAATAACAGGTTCTTAGCGGTTCAGTTCCTTTTTAGAACAGTTCGAAACGGTTCGGATTCACCAGTTCGGGTCAGTTTTTGACAGCTCTACTGAGCGGCCATATTGTAACAACTCTTGCCGATTTGCCGTGGTGAACAAGGTCCGCTTTAAATAATACTCCGTAAGACCCTCAATTCCAAATCATATTCTTAACAGAAAAAGTCAACCTCATTCTTTTCCTTGGAGATCAAGGTCCACTTGAAACTTTCTTGAACAAGTTCGTTAGCCTGATAGAGAATTTCTAGGGTTTTACTTTTACCAATCTACCAAAAATTACAAATCAGATGTTTCAAAAAAAAATTACAAATCAGCTATCAATACAAATTCATAAACATCAATTCAAATTTCTAAGGGAGTGATCGGAATTAAGTCACGTAGTGATACCGTCATTAGATTCCATATAGTTGCCCACCTTTACGGCTCCTGATCGAGTCATCGTCCAAACATGGAGGGACAACAACTAGACGAAGAAACAGGCATTAATAATTCTCGACTCGAATTATTATCATCATTGTTAGGCCAAGAAATTGCGTTAGAAATTCAAAGTAACAACACAATTGATGATCATCGTACAACAATATGCTCACATCCTGTTTTTTTACGATATACGTGCACTAAATGTGACCAAGAAATTAACGGTACAATTTCTACCATACCCTTTTGGTATATTTACCCTGATTTAAATCTAAGTTTTAACGAGATTAATCGTATTCGTGATACCAATTTGCAAAGATTATTATCCCGAAGAAAGCTTCATTTAGTTATTGATTTGGATCATACGCTTGTTCATACACGAAAAAAATACAAATTAAGTCCCGAAGATAGGGATTTCGTTCGTACGAAAAGATATGGAATTGATTATAATTTGCCAGGGGAATTAGGTGCATTGTTGTTTCAAGCTGGTGGTTCGTGGACTAAATTACGGCCGTATGTACGTGATTTTCTTAGAGAGGCGAGCACGATGTTTGACATGACGATATATACTCTAGGGTGTAAGTTTTATGCTTGGAGTATGTCGAAATTGCTCGATTCCAATGGGAGGTATTTTGATAATTGGAGGGTGGTTTCGAGGGATGATTGTGTAATGTTGGATAAGCACAAGAAATTTTTGGATGTTGTCTTGGAGCATGAGCGCGTTGTAGTGGTAATGGATGATAATGAAGACGTGTGGGAGGATCATAAGACGAATTTGTTGAAAATAACACCGTATAATTACTTTTCTTACTTTAGTCCTGAGGATAAAGTTCATGATGCTTCTCCTCCGCGGCTGTCTTGGTCTCAGTTGAATGAGGATGAAAGCGAGGAAAATGGGGTGCTAGCTAGAGCTTTGGATAAGTTAAGGCTTGTTCATGCTGCTTTCTTTGATGGTTTATCCGCGAATGGTGTAGAGGATTATGGTGACCGGGATGTTAGACAAGTTCTTCAAAGGGTGCTGGTGAAGGAAAAATCATTGACTAAGAAGCAAAAGAAGCAGAAAGCTAAGAAGATTAGTGATTTGTCACGAGCTTTACAAGCTGCTCATCTATAAGGAGAGGTGCTAGAGTTCATAGGAGCACTATGTTACTCGGTGTCAAGTAATTGGGATTTTGTATGTAATCCTTTTCATGTTTTTGCAGCAAATTGAAGTGCTAGTGTACATACTCATGTAGAGGTGTCATAGTGTTAAGTTTTAACACGCGTACTTGAAATGTAATAAACTGTATGTCCAAGTAACATTGATTGACATTCTTTTTTTTGTATATTGTTAGGTTCTTTTTAGTAGTTAATGAAGCAATGGTGTGACTTACTGTAATTTGTTAAATGCAAGTAAAAGTTATCCAACTAATAAGTGATCTGTTGGTTTTATGCTGTTAATGATGTGGATTGAATTGTTAGATTGGTGACTGATTCTATTTAACTATATGTATTGTTTGATTTATGGTGTGTACTAACATCAGATGCTGAGTATGTCACACGCAGCTAGACTTCGTTACTTTGATCCTTGTACAACAATTACTTCACTTCTTAGTAAGTTTCTGCACTATTATTCTGAATCTGATGTATACATGAATGTATGATCATATGAGCTCAAAGGTATGATTTTTATGTCCTGCTTTTATGATGGCAATGTCTTTTAATCAATTAACTAGCTTATTATTTTATTATGGCAGTGTGTTAATGATCTTTTACAATAGATTATTACATGATTTTTAGGAACATGGACTTAGAACTCTGTGTTTCTTCCACCAAAATGCTATTTCTCTGTTCTTCATTGTGTGCAATAGCGGCCTGTTCTGTACCGTTGGTTTACAAAGTATGCCATAGATTGCTAGTAGAATTTATGTCACGCTTGATTGAAAGACAATAGCTCAGCTCTTTTCTAAGCATTCGTATCTCCATCGAAGCACACGATCTGATCCCTTGGAGCCAAGAATGCATAATTTGTCCTATTCCTATAGAGGGTACATAAGAGTCATAGACGACAGACTCTTCATTGATCTTTTTAAATTCTCCTTAGCTTGCTAGTCCATAATATATGCATTTTATCCTCTAGGATTCAAATTCTGTGATCAAAGATATAAATATGAATATAATGTGTTATATGTGTGCCTCGAATGCTCCATGTTAATATATGCTTTAGTATTATGGTGTTTGGGGCTTTAAGCAAAGAAGCATGGAAAGGGCTGACTTAAAATGATCATATCTCAAGATCTAGAAGTGATATTGAGATGATTCAAGTTGGAGGTGATAGCTCTTCTCAAAATCTTTCCAACGACTGGTCATAAGCTTGATTTGGTTAAGAATCGAGGGAGTTATGACTGTTTAAAGAAGTGTTGTCCGCGTAGGGGGAGTTCGACCGAACCATTTAATAGGTTCGGTCGAAACTTTAGGCAGAACTGATGCTCTTTTCATTTCTAGAGTAGGTTCGGTCGAACCTATGGTGGTGTGACCGAACCACACTAAGTTCGACCGAATTCTGGGTAGGTTCGGTCGAACCTGCGAGCCCCTGTTCCAGCGCTGCGATTTCTTCTTATTTTGCTCGGGATGTAATCTTAACCGTTGATTCATCTTGCACTATATATACTCTTGTTTTTCATTGTAGAGAGTATGAGAGAGAAACACAAGTGAGACTTAGATCTTAAATTAGCTCACCAAGAACACCATCTTTCTCCATTGTAATTCTTCCTCCATTGAAGAGTAATACAAGCTCCAATCTCCCCAAAAGTGGATGTAGCTCATTTTGAGTGAACCACTATAAATCTTGTGTGTTTTATTTTGTTCATTTTTAATTGCTTTCTCATTTAGCTTTGCATTGTTCCTCAATCAAATTCAAAGTCCCAAAAAGGTCCTATTTCATAACATAATGCTTCTAAAACATCTAAGCTATTGTCTACAAATCATGTATTGACACAAGTTTTGCATGCAACCTAAGATGGTGTGCCAAAAAAACCAGTAGAAAAAGAACACAAGTGAAAAGATACCAATACAGTGGAAAACTGAAGTTGACGGAAGAATCATAGAGGTTTTATTATGACATTATGTGTTTCTAAATCACCCAATTATCAAGATTTTAGAATCGAACGATGTTGACTTCTGACATGAACTAAGGACAATTTTTTCTGTTGTTAAGATTAGGAAATTTTGACAATTACCATCTACTATTGTTTTTATTTAAACAATTACCACCTACTATTATTTTTTTTAAAAAGTACCACCAACTTTTTTCTCAAACACCAAAAGTTCCCACCTATTTGGCTCTCAACCACCTTATGACATCATGTGGGCCCTACATAATACCTTCCCTCCCTTTTTCCCTCCCATTTCTTATTTCTCACTCGATACTTTACTCTCAAGTTTAAATTTTCGCGGAATCAAATCGAAAAGGAAAACAATATTCAATCAATTATTTTGTTTGGAGAAGTAAATTGCAATGTTTTCAATTTCTTTTAGCGAAAAGTTGAACCTGGGAATGAAGTATCAAAGAAATGGGAGGGAAAAAAGGAATGGAAGGAATTATGTTTGATGTTTAAGAAAAAAATTGGTTGTAATTTTCAAAAAAAAAATAAATAATAGTAGGTGGTAATTGCTAAAATGGAAATAATAGTAGGTGGTAATTGTCAAAAATTTCCTAAAAATTATATTAGAAAGTATGAAAAGATTGCTATGATTACTCAAATAATAAACTAGTTGCTTGATCAAATAACATTGTATTCTAATACCAAGGTGTTTTGGGTGTTTTTGTCCCTCGGGAGAGTTACAACACGAAGACTGATCCGGAGTGAGTTGTACCTGCAAAACAAACGGAGACACCAGTTGGGTGGTGCTCCGCCTCCGACGCACAAGTTAGAAACTTGAAGGGAGAAAAAGGTGCGGAAATTTAGGTGGGGTTCTGCTCGGATTCCAAGCTCAAGATGTCTCTATCAAAGAGTAAAAATGTAATAAATGGTAAAACGTGCCCTCAAAAAGAGGGACATCTCCCTTTTTATAGGGTCTTAGGGATTTGTGCCCCTGATTAGGTCACTGAACCCTAATCATTGGAGGGCTGCGCCGCTTTGCGGCGTTCTCGGGATTTAGGCCTGAAGGCCGCCTTTTTCCCTTAATTTCTGGAGTGACACATGTCAAGCAGGGATGTGTCCACTTTGGGCCATCCTGAGGCTGACACGTGTCATCCTCTGATTAGACCACGTGGCGGGGTAAAATTACCCTAAACATTTGCCCCTCACAGATGTGACGTGGCACGCCACGTGGCATCTGTGACGTGTGTCACGCTCCGATTGGCGGTAATTTTACCATTAAAGAGTAACCGTTCACCTTCCGGGTAAATTACGGAAATGCCCCCATATTTACCCTCTATATATAGCCGTTTTACCCTCATAATCTGGTACGTTTACAAAAAAAATTCTAGAGAGAACTTTGAGAGAGCAGAAGTCATTCGTTAGAGTCAGGCGCAAGCAAGAAAGTTCGTTTTCCATCGACCCAGCCAGACCCGCTTAATCTCCAGATATTATATCAAAAGGTACCATCTCTGCCTCTCTCAGCTCTGTTTCTTTTTTCACTGTTAGTACATATTTCTTGCAATAAATGGATGCATCACCAACACACACGGCACAGCCTAGGTTAGAGTCCAACCGGCCACCAGGGACGGCTGAGTCTAGGACTGGGAGTGCGGTCTCTGGGTGTTAGGACCACCCTTTGCCTCGGATTCCGACCAGTTACGTGTCTGTGCAGGACACAATGGCTCGGATAATGCAGACGGCGACTGATCCAAATTACAAGAGCGAAGGCTAAGACGGCCAATCGCCTGAGGGAGAAATGTCTGGTTAGGGAGACCAGACGGCTCTGGAGAGATCCCCTCCGCGCGCCCCTTCCACCCCCGCTGACTCTTTTTTGGAAGAGTGTGACCAAGGCGACGACGAGGCCGTCTCTGCCCCCTTGACCCAAGATGAGGAAGAGACGGAGAGCGACAGCTCCGCCTCTACCTCTGAGAGCAGTGATGATTTGCCCCCGCTTCAGGATAGCGAGGAGGAGGAAAGGAAAAAATGGAACGAGAAGGAAGATCCCTTCAATATCCATGTCTCCTCCAAGGACCGGATCCAAATGGAGGAAAACTTAAAGAATTTTACTCAAATGCACCCGCTAGGAGACGAGTATAGGATCCGGGTGCCGCCTGAGAATGGCACCATCGCCTGGGAGGACGATCAAGAGAACGCCAACATCTATTTCAGCTGTTATGAGGCGGCGTTCAAGGCTGGCCTTCGCTTCCCCCTTCACCAGGCGGTGAAGGCAATTTTAAGAGGTTACGGCCTCAGAGTCTGGCAACTTACTCCCAACTCTTAGACAAACATTCTGGGGTATGTTGCCGCCTACGAGTTCCAGGGGCTTAACCCCGGCTGGGAGGCTTTTGCTAGTATGCATTATCTTAGCAGAAGCCCAGGCGGCTGTAGGGCGTGGTACACTCCAACCACGCATCCCCAATATATGATGACCTTGGACAAGGTCTCGAAATTCGACGGCTGGAAGCACAGGTTCTGTCTGATGTCAGCTCCAACTAGACGGGAGAATTATGAATTCCGTCTGTACAATAAGAAGCCCGACTTGCTGGGCCGGAAGTGCGCTCTTCCCCGGATCCTAGAGGGAGACTTTGACAAGATCATTGAGGCAGACTTTTTCGACCTCACAGACGCGACCTTGTCAACCGGGGAAACAATAAAAGTTTCCAAGAACTGGATCCCCAAAAGCACCTGGTTCAGGGACGAGTGTTTCCTATCCGCCTACGGGCTAGGGCACATGTTTACCAGACGTATGCACCTGAGTTTATATCCATCGGTAGTATTTTTCTATCGAAATTGATTTATGTTATTGACCAATTTCCTTTTTTTTTTTGCAGAGGAAGCATTATACATGTTGCAGACGGAGAAAACTCCCAAGCGGTCCTCTGCACTCATCCGCAAGCAGCTTGCGAAAATAGTTGCGGCTGAGGTCAAGGCCAAGGTAATAAACGCCTGTACCTTTCTTAAATTGATCTTTAAAACTATTTTTCCCGGATGC